TCCTCCATGGGATCTTATTTCGGAAAAAGTATGCATTGAAGTCAATGGAGAGAGAAAGATTATCTTTCGATCCCGTTTGAATTGTGCCACGAATTACACATATGATGTTTGTCAATCTTAAATAATAATTTCCATGTCAAAAAAGTCACAGTTTGTTGTAAAACTGTTGAAATATAAGACTATGAAATGTGTGTGTATGTACAGCTCTCAACATGTCCAGACTTGTAGTGATTTTCACCTCTTTTAATACTTTTAATACCACATTACGTCACACGTTTGATGCGCGCCCGTGATTGAATATCTCTTTATTTAAAAAATACGGGAAATACGGATCTCGGGGGGTATTTCTCAATCGCGAGTACGCTTGCTTGGTATCACATGTCTGCCGAGCATCTTGCTTCAGGAGCGAGTCAAGAATACTTCCTGGCATTCGGAAAACGAAGGGTGTTTCTCAATCGCGAGTACGCTTGCTTGGTAGCACATGTCTGCCGAGTATCTTGCTTCAGAAGCGAGTCAAGAATACTTCCTGGCATTCGGAAAACGAAGTGTGGAACACGCTAGCAAGTGTGCAGGTGTGCGTCATATGAGAGGCCCCCGCCTTACATCTTCCGCCACAGATTTGGGGAAATTGGTCCGTGCGCAAAGCATTGTGGGGATTTTAAGACCGCGGAGTCTACTCATGTGCAGCCTCGATATTTCTCCAAACGGAGTACGCCGGGCTCGGTAGATTTCAAAGTATGCTGGAGATTGGAACAGTACTTCGGCGGCACTCGATGACGTAGTATGCTTGAAATAGTGGCTCTGAAGCAGCTTTACTCGCGATTGAGAAACACCCGAAGAGTGGAACAGGCTAGCAAGTGTGCAGGTGTGCGTCATATGAGAGGCCCCGCCTTACATCTTCCGCCACAGATTTGGGGAAATTGGTCCGTGCGCAAAGCATTGTGGGGATTTTAAGACCGCGGAGTCTACTCATGTGCAGCCTCGATATTTCTCCAAACGGAGTACGCCGGGCTCGGTAGATTTCAAAGTATGCTGGAGATTGGAACAGTACTTCGGCGGCACTCGATGACGTAGTATGCTTGAAATAGTGGCTCTGAAGCAGCTTTACTCGCGATTGAGAAACACCCGAAGAGTGGAACAGGCTAGCAAGTGTGCAGGTGTGCGTCATATGAGAGGCCCCCGCCTTACATCTTCCGCCACAGATTTGGGGAAATTGGTCCGTGCGCAAAGCATTGTGGGGATTTTAAGACCGCGGAGTCTACTCATGTGCAGCCTCGATATTTCTCCAAACGGAGTACGCCGGGCTCGGTAGATTTCCAAGTATGCTGGAGAGGAACAGTACTTCGGCGGCACTCGATGACGTAGTATGCTTGAAATAGTGGCTCTGGAGCAGCTTTACTCGCGATTGAGAAACACCCGGGGTCTCCCAGTCCCTCCCTGCTCCCTGTGCGCAGATGCGACGCGTCATATGACGTCACATGTTTGGCATGTCTCGATTGAATATGCTTTATTTAAAACAAAAACAAGGACAATAAACAAACCAGTCTTCACAACGGCCGGACAAAATACTTTGAGCCTCCCAAAAGCCCGAGACACTGTTTTACTATACATTGACGGGGAAGGGGGTAGCAATAAAGATAACACCATTAAACAGTAACACAACATAACAGACATAATATCGATAGCAGCGTCCCTAGCAACCACCTTGGTAACAATGAAAACGTTGTATTTACACAATTTCCTGAAGTATTCTTCGTAATAACTAGCAAACTAAAGATCATGTACATCCACTGCAAACATAATCTGAAATAACAACTCATATTTCTTGCATCAAATGACATCAAAACGCATTTTAATGGCCAAACTAACCTTAAAATAGGCATTTTCTAACGAGAATAAAACGAAGGTCGGCCATGTTTTTTTTATTTCTGCGGAGAGAAAGTTGAAGATCACGTGACATAGACGCCAGCCATTGGAAATTAATGGTGAAAAAACACGTAGGGATCTTACAATTTCAGAGGCCTTTTTGTAGAAATACTACGTCCCAAGTTGTGGACCAACGTAGTTATTACACGTTTAGATGTGAGACTGGGTTGGGGATGCTGCAATGATCTGTTTGGTGTTTGGAGCCAAACACTTCAGAGACATGTTTTGTATATATCTGAGACCTATAATATATTGATGAAAAAGAGTATAATAGATTAAGATTAAGTCATGATTATCTTATTTTTGGGATGCAATAGCCATTAGAAGGTTCTGTGTTTATATGATTTTTGTATATAACATAAATCTAAGACTTTGTGAATCAAAATCATGCATTCCACAGTATTTGACATTTAAAAATAATGAGCTGTTTGTTGCTTTTCCACCACATGGCAGTCCATCGATTAATTGGGTGAATCAATGCATAATAATGTTGAGTCTTTTGATCCAGATTTTGTTGGTGCTCTTTGAAGAACTGTGTAAATAAAACACTATGTACACTGATGCAATGTGTTTGAAAAAAGACTCCAATCAAAGGTATAGGAACATCATAAAGAATAGAAACTGATCCCCTTTAGTCATTTTTTCCTTTTACATTCTTTGACATGTACATGTATGTTACAGTTGCACACCTTGCTTTACCAATGGGAAATTGGGAGTACAAAAACTGAATTCCATCAAACATTTGACCAACATGCCATCAGTTGAGTTTGAATTCTGCACCTCACAAAGACTTTTGTGAAGAAACAATTCAATGAACTTTAAAGTATTCATTTTTGTAGTACATTTTTACAGAGAAAAACAAAAAAGAACTAAACACAAGTGTTGACATTCAAAATTGAGGTCAGTTACACACGCAAAACATACTCACAAATACAAGATCATTTTGCATGAATTTATACATGTCTACGCTACCGTTCTGAGTTACAAAAACAAGGGCACTTGAACGTTTTGAGAAGGAATTGACTATCCAGTCATCTTCTCAATCGATGTATTAGCTCGGTAAACATTTGCCTGATAAGTTTAAGGTTTCAATTGCTAGTTTTTGCAATATAGTATGATGTTAATTTTGTTGTCTGTGTTTCCCTTTTTGCACTAACCCTTTCACAGTGTGTTGATGGCGACGGTCAAACTAAATTCAAAACCATAGACCAAAAACCAAAGGGTGACGTCACAGTGACTACGTCCACTCCTTATATTTAGTCATGCGGTGACCCCCAACATTTATGTTATTTAAATGGCTAGGTTAAGTTAAGTACTTATTTTTCATTCCAATGCTTTATTCTATTGAATTGTTCTCAGTTGCAAAACAAAACTGTAAATCAAATCTCTCAGCATCATCTTTAACATCTTTCCAAATGAATTGTACGGAGGAGATCCATCATTTATACTTGATGACATCACACATTTGATTTTGTTTAACTCTTGGGTTTTTTAATTTAGGAGAGGGTTGTTCATTTTTACTAATACTTTTTAACTTCCTTAGACCACAGGAGTCATATGTATGAATTTCAAAAATGGCTCCTTTTAATGTTATAAATGATTGTTTCCCTAGTTTTCTAGTCTTGTCTATAGTAACACAGTTCTCGAAATTCCCATATTGTTTAAAAAAGACTTGAAAAAAGATTAATGTATTTTTGAATAGATTTCTTTCAAATAATTGATTGTCACTAAAAATATGTAATTTCAAGCATTTGAAAAATGAACAATGCAATTTGTTCTATTACCATCTCACGGTCCTCACAAGTCCTTCAGTCCCTGAGTATCAATGTATATAGCACCCTTCTTCATCAGTGGGGCCTTAACTTATGGCCTAGCTATCCAGAATCCACTGTTGTCTTTTTGTGTCTTTTTTCTTCTATAGGCCACATCTTTGACATCTATTCTAGAACGTCCTATTTGTCCAGTTGCATTAGCATGGGTCTTTGGCTATCTTGAGGCCATTCAAAAACATTCTTTAAGGAGCCCATGTCCACATACAGTAGCGCCTTTTTTGAGCTCCAGTGTTTTTTTTTTATTGATTCCAATGAGACAAAGCGCATGCCATTGCAAGTGGCGCTCTCGAGAAAAAGCGAGAATGTTAGCAGCTCCGAGTGTGTTGAGTTGAAAAACGTGTTTTTGACCGTGTCTTCCAGTTGCATGAAAATTGGTGTTTGGCTGTCTTAAATGTTAAGGGCTCATGTCCAGATAGAGTGCCATCGTATTTTTTCAATTGATTCCAATACGATCAGAGCCAAAGCTGTCGCAAGCGGAACTCTCAAGATTTCTTTTTAGCAGTTCCAAGCGTTTCGTGTGGAAAATATTTCAACGTTTCAGAATAGCAGCGGTGTATGTAGAACTCTTAGGAGAAGCGTTTTTGGACATTGTCTTTCAGATTAAACTATCATAACAAAGACTAAAAATAACGTTTATTGGAGCACATTGGTCTGGCTGACCCTTGAAGTGTTTTATCTCTGTAGTGGATCGTCCTTCTGAGTTAACAGCTGTCAGAGAGTGTTGAAGCTCATTCATACAAAGTGTGAAAGCGAAATGATTCGTCAAACAAATACATACTAACACAATTAGATAACAAAATCGAAGGGGGCGATTATAGTCTGTCATGCAACGGTAGTGATACTGTGTCGAGATATCGTTGTATGAAATCTATGAAACCTTCTGCGAGAAGAAGGCGCTTTGTGGACAGGTCCTTAAAGAAGATAGTAGATAGATGCACATTTTCTCTCGGTTACTGCTGCTGAAACATAGCTTATGCAGGACGCGCACTATCTAGTGTGTGAAGATTTTGAATCACTGCTTTTTAGAGACTTCCTGGTGCAAAGGGGTTCTTCTTTCCCAGCACAACTCCCATCAGAACTTTATAATGGCAGGCTACCTCTCCTCTATAGGTCCTAGCCGTCCCCTGGCAGCAAATTCTGCCTTTAGATTGACTAACTCTCCTTTACTCTGGACCGCCGGGCCCATTTATAAGCCCAGAGTCCCTCAGCAGCCTACGAAGGATTTTCCACTTTAATACCCACGACGGTAGCTGTGAAGCACCTCTGGAACAGCAGCTCGGGGTCTGGCGGCTGGTTATCACAGTCAAGCTTTCTGCTCATGAAGTGTTTTCTGAATCCCTGCGGACCAGAGATGCAGGCCGCTCTCCCACGACTCGGCCCCTCACTGGGATCTCCCGCTGAAACACAATAGATTCCACATAGTTCAAAATCTGCATGTGTTTTCTTTACCAAATGCCAAACCACATGATTTTTTAGATGACGTTTGCAGCAAATTTTCTCTGAATCACAGGCTTTCAGAAAGAGTGGCAACACAATTAAAATCACTACTGTTACCACAGCACACCACACACACACACACACACACACACACACACACACACACACACACACACACACACACACACACACACACACGCACGCACGCACGCACACACGCACACGCACACACACACTTACCTGGCGCTCTGAGGGGCAGGCCGTTGTCAAGACGACGGGGTTTGGTGGCGATGAAGAGGTAACAGAGGACGCATACAGTAATGAGGAAGGCAAGGAGGACCACCGCGGCAATGGATAGACCAACCAGAGCACCGATACTGAGAGGAGGGAAGAAAAGACAAGGAGATGAGAGAAAGAAGAGGAGATAAGGACAGGAGAGAGGAGACAGGAGAGAAGGGATAAGTGGAGACAATAAAAGTAGAAGGAGTGAAGTGGAGGGTGCAAAGGTAGAAAGGTAAAGCGGCAGAGGGAACAGAAAGGGGATGGTTGACAGGAGGAGAAAGAAGTGAAGAGGAGAACATTTGAGAAAAGAAAAGAGGAGAGGAAAAGGAGAGAAGAAGAGAAAAGAGCAGTAGAGAGGTCATGATGATTTGAAGGATGGAAAAGAGAATATCCAAAAGGGGAAGATCAAATATATTAATAATTTGGTTTAGCTCAGTAAAGGGTATAATGTTAAATATTGCAGGTAAATCATAAGGAGCCATGGAGTTGAGTTATTAGCACTTTCTTTTTTTTATATACCAAAAATAGTTTTTTCATCCACACATGAAACTAAAACAAATAGAGCTGTTAATGTGTTAAGAGAAGATAAGATGAGCCATAATTAATCTCCAGATCAGAAATGCACGTGTTGCAACAGCACAAGGACTGAAATGAACAAATTAACTAATAAGGAAAGAAAATAAAAAGGAAAAAATATTAAATTAAACAGAACATAAATAAAAGCAAAGCATGTGACAGCTGGGATGGATTGGATTTTTTAGTCATGAGATACACACACACACTAAAAATCGTGACATAAAACTAAGATCGTGACAATCCTAACAAAGGTAGAAAACCAGAATTTTAATGGTACACAATATGTCCTGACCAAGACCAAGACAGGACCAAGACTTTAAGAGGTCGAGTCCAAGTCAAGACCAAGGCAGGGCCATGCATAAACACACGCACACATGCACACACACACACACACACACACACACACACACACACACACACACGCACACACACGCACACACACGCACACACACCACACACACACAGTATTTTATTTCACTATACAGTATTTAATTTTACATTCACATTTTAGCTCATATTATTCTATTTGACTTGCATATATTTAACTTCTCCTGCATTACTTGCACATTAGCCTTCAACATTCCCGTGCACTATTTGATTGCTGTTCTGTTATTTCTTGCACTATTTAGATTTTTTTTAAATGTGTTTTATTGTTTAATGTCTTATATATTTATGTTGCGTTGTTGGAGGAGCCTGGGACTTTTCATTGCCATAACTACACTGTGCATATGACAATAAAGCCTTTGAATCTTGAATGTAGAATTTCCAATTGAGTTACAAATAAGTAAAACACTGAAAATAATGACACTTTTTCAAATGTAAATTTCCCTCACCTCAGCCACCACATGTATCCGTACTCATAGGCGAAAAAGCTGTTGGGATCATCACAGCAGTACTTGACATCATTAAATCCGCAACAGTACACAGCAACAGCGGCATTTCCCGCTCTGGGGCACGAGAATCCGTCCACAAACGCACCGCCAGCGCTGGAGTAGCTGCTGCATTCAGCGCTCATTCTGCTGCGGGAAAACAAACACTTGTGGTCCGTGGATTAATAAAGCGGGGACCGGAGGAGAAGTAGAGCCACCGGTGTGTGCTCTGCAGTGGAAGGACACACAGAGGGTGGGAGGTGGACACTTTTCAATCTGAAGAAAACTGGAGCTCTTTTCCTCTCTCCCCCTTATCTTCCTCGCTCTCTCATCACTCATTACAAAAACACGCGCGCGCACGCCAGCATGCACTGACACATGGCTTTAAACTCTGCTTACTTAATCTGCTTTAGTTTTTGGACAGTATAAGCTTATTATGCTGTTTGTTAGTATGCAAAAGCATAAAAACAGGAGCACATGTATTCATGTTAATCACAGTATTCAAATGAATCATGATTAATCATTACTTTAAAATACAATCATTTGATATTATTTTGGGGGAGATAAAAATATACACGTGTGGTGTTGTAATAATTTTAAAAAAGCATTACAAGCTAGTAAGAAAAATCGAAGGGTCTTACTTTAGAACATGATTTATTGGCATGACATCCGTAATTACGAGAGGAAGTTGGGGTCAAACATGGTAATGTGATCAATAATAATAATTAGTTAAACGTTCCTATAATTATTTCAGTTTTTTTTTTAAAGAAAAACGTATTTTTGTTCATCCATGTTACCACTCAAGTTGACCAATCTATTCTAAGTCCGGTCGAACCTTTGCAGATGTTTGTGTTTGCTTCGGCTGCAACAAAAAATCTTGTTAAAAGCAATATGTTTTTTTATTGAAATAACCATTTTATTCTACCTTCTTTTACCTGCACATAGTCCAGTCCTGGCCCTTCAGCGGAAACAATGTTTCACTGACACAATAAATACCTTTAATGTAGGTTACAGATCGATCTAACACCACTGTAGTAAACGCAGTACACCCTCAGTCTTTTTTATTTCCTAGGATGTTTAGTGATTCAGGGCTTCTGACCATACACTGTGGTAATTATAGGAGCTACCGCTTTGCCATATATTTGATAATACACATTCATTTTGTGCCTATGAGAAGAACAAAGCTACGGCCTGCACACAATCTCAACCTGCTTATGTGAAGGAGACATGTTATGTTTATTTTTCAGGTTCATTCTTGTGTTAATTGTGTTTCTAGAACATGTTAAAATGCTTTAAAACACATTATGTTTCTCATACTGTCTATCTGAATAAACTTGGATTCACACTCTGAAATGCTAGTTTAAGCTCCTGTCTCTCAGAGCACTCTTCTCTAAAAACCCAGTCGCTTTGATGTTCCTGGGTTTAACCTGTTCTTTTTCAAAATCCCAGGGAGGATGGCAGGCTTAGATCTGTTTTTAGTGGCCAAACTGTTTAAAAACATCGTCTGGGTTTTAAGGAAAAGCCAACAAGCCCAAAAAGACTTATTCCTGTAGATATAAATGGTTACCAAAGGAGACAACATAGTCTTTATTGGACAATATGTCCCTGAAATAATCTAACTATAGAAGTGTTAGTCGCTCTAAGTCACACACACTTAATTGAGACATTCTTGTCATCTATGTTGTGTGTCAGGTCAATAAACACTTACCAATGCCATCTCAGTGCTTTGGTGAGGATGAAAACCAGGTTGAAACTTATTCAATAATTTAAACCTGGTCCAATAAATCCATGTTTATTAATACGTTAGACCGGTCGCTCTCCCCCATGTGACGTCACACGCGGGTGGTCTTTTTTTATGCGGAAGTAAAAATGTCTTACAAAAACGACGCCAGATGTCACTGTAGTGTATATTTATGTATATTGTTTTGAAAATCTAGTGTATACATCATTTTCCTACACATTTATTCACTGGGGTCTCTAACCTGCAAGTTGCTCTTTAACAAGAAATGTTCTAGAAATTGAAATGAAAAGAGGAGGTTTAAAGTTTTTTGGAGTGTTTAGATAGTTAACTTTTGTCTAAGTTATCTCTGTGGTTCTCAAACGGTCTGATCACCATTCATGTGAACAAGTATTCCCAATGCACACATAATTCAGAAGTCCTCCAAACTAAGCTGAGATGTTTTAATAAAGTCAAAAACCTTCTGATTTATCTAAACAGTTTGTCATGCCTTTCTTTATTACAACACCACACATGTTTGTTTCCTCTCCCCCTTAAATACAAGTAAATATTTGAAACTCGAAATTGATCTGTGATTAGTCATGATTAATTAATGATTATTGTGGGGGAAACTTCTGAAGCAATTGGAAACAGGACTCAGAGAGGCACGAGGAGAGCTGGAGCTTTGATGTCAAACACTGATGGTTTATTTAGGAGCTTCGGCCGGAGAATTCACAAGACATGTCACGGGCCACGGTTTGACCACACGGTTGAGATGCCACAATCAATTCTGAAGAACTCTACCCCAGACCCATGTATTTAGCTAGTTCAGAGAGAATAATCAACATTGTGCATAACAAGATAGAATCATAACACCTCTATCAGCTGACGCCAACAGGCAGGAACAGGGAGACAAAACACTGAGAGCACAGCAGCCAAGGTTACAGGTGCGTGTGCTCAGTCAGGACAGTATGAACTGATAAACTGGGTCAAAGTTTAGGGCCTTGGAAAATATTTCCCCAACAATTATTATGGTGATAAACAATTCAGCGTAATAATATATTGACCACACAACATTTTATACCTTCCAATGTTACTTATTAAACATTTAAACAAAGATGTATAGCATTGAAGTGAAGATTCACATCATTTATAGGTTTAAAGGACTTCCCAGTATAGAAAAATGATCTTTAAGAGGCAGTGAAAGATAAATTAATTCAGAGAGCATTTTTAATGAGACCTCTTGGCTCCATGATCAGGGGAATATTCTCTGATGTGAGGACCGTGCACATTAAATACGGAGTGGACCACCTTAACTAACATTCCTAATGATGACCATTAAGTCTAACGATCTTGCTGTATGCATCAGCAGAGAGATATCCATGGATACCATCCGGGATGGATGTGTGATCCCTGTGTGAAGGATAACTCAGTAAATTGTCATTTATATAATGCTTTTAATAAATAAACGACATTGTATAGACATTCTAACCAGTGAAATAAAATAATATATATATAATATGAGTGAACAGAAGAATGTGGCCCGTGAGACCAAACAAAGAGGTGAGAAAAATTCTCTTTTTTTCCCACAGAAACATAATTGAACTAGTTATTCCCATTCTTGCTTGCCTGTATTTGTTAACAACTGCACGGTTACCAGAAGACATTATCTTTACAAATGGGATGTCAGAAAGAAGGCTAACAGCAGTCACATCAATCAATTACCTTTGTTGGATTTATGGGCAAAAACAACTAAATAACAGAGCAGTTTCTCAAAGAGAGTAATCTTTCCTGCCAACCGATACAATGTATTGCAACAAAAAACATTTTGTTATCTGAACATTGTACAACAGTGCTGGAATATGTGGAATTTGGGAAATGAATTGTGAAGTGTCAAAAGGACAAAGGCAAATAAATAAGCATCTGCAGTAGAAACATTGAAGCTGGGTATAGACCGTACGATTTTGCAATAAAAAGCCAAAGCTCACAAATTACACACATATATATATATATATATATATATATATATATATATATATATGTGTATGGTATACGGTATACTATGAACCCTTTCATGCATGAATTATGAAAGCCTCACTCAGGAATTTTTTACCAAGTGTTTTTATTGCTCTTGGGGCATTAAAAACACGATTTTAACTTTATTTTTTTTTAATCTAGTTTTTTCAAATTTAGAAAAAAAACGTTTTATATGTCCACTCAGGTGGACAGTATGCGTTAAAGTCTAAACTGAAAACTTGTAAATTTGGAAAAAATGATAAATAAAGATGTGCAAACTTAAAATTACATTATAATAACTTAAGTATATATATTTAAGGCCCAAAAAGATATTGCAAATGAAGTATTTTCAAGAAGAACAGTAGCAGTAACAGTATGAATTTGAGTTGAAATATAGCCAGTGATGCATGACGTCCACTTTAGTGGACAGGCGAATAATCATGATTTCCTGCAAACATAACATCAATACTTTGACAATTTATGAATTATATAATTCCTTAGTTGTTACTTGATGTCACCAAATGTTTTATACCTGCAGGGAGCGCTTTCCATGAAAGGATTGGCAGGATATCGGCAGGTGACTTGGTCCATCTGGCTTTCTGTCATTCATCTTGGTTTAGAGACATTTATCATGCACTTGCACTGACTTTCCACTGAGTAGCAGTGTTTGGGATGATGCAATAGGGTCCTATGTAGTGGCTGATGGTGCAACTATGCCATCAAAACCCATGCATATACAAGAAAACACCTTTTAAAAAGCTGTCCACTGTAGTGACCTCTATCCATATCTTCTGTGTTGCAACTGCAGCATCATCAGAGTAATCTGTAACCATTACAGGCAAATATGTATTCAACAAAATTAGGATCACCCAACATCATTGCCTGAGTGTGTGTGTGTGTGTGTGTGTGTGTGTGTGTGTGTGTGTGTGTGTGTGTGTGTGTGTGTGTGTGTGTGTGTGTGTGTGTGTGAAAATTGATGTCCCAGGCAGACAGGCAGGTGAGTAGCTTATCTGACATGTACATGGTCAGAAAATGGTACATTGTAGCCTGTGCGTTCCCCTTTCGAGCGACTGACTATTCCTTCGCAATATAGCATTGCATTGGTTATGCGCTGAACTTGTCCTGGAATGGAATTTTTCCGGTCATTTCCCTAGGAGGACAAAAATGTGCTTAAAATACATGAAGAACGCACATTTTTCAAAATGGCCGACTTCCTTGGATACGGGGCTAACGGAAGGCAATTTGAAATATGTATGCAATCATAATAGAAATGTGTATACAGCGTTTCGTGAATATCGGAAACACTGTATGCGAGAAGTTTGGAGTAATTTGTGACATGTTAATCGGCAAAAATGGTACAATCCCCCTTAGCTTACGACCTCCCTGATTGAGCCAGCAACTATTTTATTCGCA